GTGGGAAAAAACGGGGGAGGCATTAAATGGCCCCCCCATGCCTCCCCCAGCCTGTCCAAGGGCTGGCTTGCCCAGGCTCCCTGCAGCCGCAGGGTGCCCAGGCAAGCCAAAGGAAGGCACAGGGTGTGGCCTAATATGCTAATGAGTGACACTGTTGTGGTGTGGCCTAATATGCTAATGAGTTTTTGCTGTTGAGTGTGGCCTGTTATGAGTTCCTGCTGGGCTTTTTCTACAAAAAAAGCCCTGTGGATATCTATGGCTGAAGATGCTCAGCAACTACTTCTGGGAAACGGGCTCTGAAGGAACTGTGGCTCCTAAGGAGACTGTCTGCTCCCCCCTCTGAGGACGGCAGAGAAAACTCTGCCCCCCCCCCCAACGAGATCCTCTAGCTGTGTTGCCGAGATGAGTTCAGTTTGGGCTCTTAAAAAAAAAAAAGATCTCTTGTTTACACCTTTGGAGGAACACAGAAAAAGGAGGTGAAACCTCTGGATGGCAAGGAGAAAGAGATTTGCAAAGCACTAGAGGTTATAAACGTTTATAAAGCAAACAGTAAATAATATATAAAAAGAAATAGGGATAATGTGAATGTGAAATGTACTGATTAGGCGAGAAATATCCAAACGTATATGGTATACGTCGTCAGCATGAGTAATAAACACCACTTGAGACAGAAATATGAATTATAGCGCACGAAAGCCAAGCATTGTACAGCAGAGGTGTCGAACTCATTTGTTACGAGGGCCGGATCGGACATAAATGTCACTTTGTCGGGCCGGGCCCTGTGTGCCATAAAACGTAATGCTGGGTAGTGGAGACAGAAACCGTATAAAGGACAGAACTGGTAAGATCCGAGTTGGCGTGTCCTCACTGCAAGGCCCCATGGGCTGGGAGGGGGTGCAAAGGAAAACCCACATGAGCGGACTGGGGAGCCAGCAGTGCAGCCCTGGGCAGATGCTTCCATGCTGCTTGACTGCTGCAGACAAGGTTGTTCCGCCATGCTGAACCTACAATCGGAGTGGCTCCATCCACTCCCCCTTCCCTGATTAGTCTCCTGTTCCCTCCCTTGCAGTAGTTGCTCACGGGCCAGATAAGAGCCCTGGATGGACCAGTTCCATCCCCCGGGGCTTCTGTCTGTCACCCCTGTTGTGCAGAGACATAAATTTGTAATGCTCAAAAAACAGAGAGATGAGTAGTGTTCAAAAGCATTAACAATAATGCACAAGAAAAACCCCAGCAGTGACGGAATGCCGGCTAATATCCCATTCTGAAATCTTCTTCTTCAAACGGTGACCTTGAGCCTTGTAGCTTATAGTCAAATGGAGCAGAAAAGGCCCTGTGTTCAATGCAGTTGTCAGTCATATTAACAGCCAACATGATGGCAACCCAAATCTAGATGTTTTTTCCCCCCTTGTGTGGATCGGCAGCCGCTTGATCTTTGCAAGCCAAAGCAGGCCTTTCATGCCCCCCTCTCTCTGGTCTTCTCCCCGGCACAGCAAGAGCACACGGACATCTTGCGCAGCTTGCGGTTCACCCTGGCCTTCGTCCACTACGTGATGGAGATAGCGGCCATCAAAGGGAGCACGAGCGAGATGAACAGCTCGGTGGCCTCTGAGTACCAGCTGCCGGAGAGCGTCCCGACCAGATCAGCCAGCTGAGCAAAGAGTGGAGGTAAAGACCAGGCACAGTCAGAATGCTGGCAGAAAGCTGGGCCGGCCGGCCTCCTGAGGCTCAGGGTTTCCTGTGCAGTTGACGGAACCCTCCGCCTGAGAGGGGAGGTTTTCTGATTTCCTTGGATCTTCCTGGCTGCTTCCTCTGCACTCCAGGAATCGACCAACCCGTGTCCTCCTCTGCTCTGGGCTTGCTGGGGTTTAAATAACTCCAGCAAGTATTGACAGGCCCCATCCACTTCCTTGCGAGCGATCCAGGCTTACTCCCACTGCCCCTCGTTGCCATGATAGCCAAGGGAATATCTGACACTCCAAGCCCTGGCTATGGACTTGTTATCAAGTCACAAGCGGCTCGTGGAGACCCCAGGGCCATGGGGTTTTCAAGCAGAGGTGGTTTGCCATTCCCTTTCTCTGCCCTGCAACCCCAGACTTCCTTGGTGGTTTCTACTAAATAGGGCCAACCTTGCTTAGCTTCTGAACTCTGATGAGATTGAGCTAGTCAGTTCATGGTAAGTCTGGGTTTACCGTAAACCAGCTTTATAGCCGTTCCAAGGCACACATGAAGTTCCTGGGCTACAGCAGCTTCCTGGTTCTCTTCAGTTTTCATGAGTGTTCCCTGTCACAGCTTTATATATCTGGAGCATCCCTCAAGGTAATCTTAACACGATGCTTCGCGTGTGCCTTAAAGCCCCGTGTGCAAAACAGAGGTATTATATCTGGATGTCACTCTTTGTGGTGAAAATGGAGTTTGTCCTTTGAGAGAGTTTGGTGGGAATGTTTCTCTTCTTGGCAGTAAACAGAATAAAACAGCACATGCACATTTACTCTTTTTGGTAACATACACAGTTTCCAGAATTTGGGTTGTCGTGATTCAAGATGACAGTAGTTTTCTTTTGTGCAAAGGTACCCATAATAGCCCAGCTCATTAGAAGAAGAGACTGGATTTATACCCCACCCTTCACTTGAAGTCTCAGAGCGGCTTATAAACTCCTTTCCCTTCCCCTCCCCACAACAGACACCCTGTGAGGGGGGTGGGGCTGAGAGAACTCTGACACAAACGGCTCTTTTTCAAGGACAGCTGTGCCAGAGCTTGTGACTGACCCAAGGTCACATCAGCAAGTGCAAGTGGAGGAGTGGGGAATCAAACCCGGTTCTCCCAGATTAGAGTCCGCACACTGAACCACTACACCAAACTGGCTCTCATACTGTTGTGTGGAGAACTGCTGTGCTGTGGGTGTTGTGACGCATCCATTCACTGGTTTGCTCTCTTTTCCCAGCTATGCCGAACAGCTGGTGTTGTACCTGAAGGTAGCGGAACTCTTATCCTCGGGCCTCCAGATGGCCATTGACCAGATCCGGGCAGGCAAGCTGTGTCTCTCCTCCACGGTCAAGCAAGGTAAGGGCCAGCCCATGAGGGGGAAGTGACCTTGACAAGCAGAGAGACTGGAGGGATATTTCGGTTTGCCCCAGGAGTCAGCCTGTTGTGTTCCCATACGCTTTGGCCGCTGCGGTGCAAAGGGACCAATCAGCGAATGGTGTCTTAGGGTCGGATTTGGGGAGACTCGCCTGAGAATCAAATAAAGTAGTCAATTATGTTAATGAATTGCTAGGCAGGGAAATACCTCTTGAACCCAAATTAATTCTTCAGGGTTTTCTTAGAGGTTGTGCAGACGATTCAGATTTTGAATTAGTACTAAGTTTACCTACAGCAGCAAGGATGGAAAAAAACAAGAGTCCAGTAGCACCTTAAAGGCTAACAAAATACGTGGCAGTCTGTGCTCCCTCTAAGCTGAGTTACTGTGAGCTAACTCACAGTTTTTTAGCCTCCGGCTCCCACATTTTTGTCTTAGCTCAGGAAGGACGGCTCCAGAGCAAACCTGTTTATGCAGGAGCCGAATCGCTCGCTCACAACTTTAATGCCAGTAGCTCACAAAGTGGGATTTTTGCTCACAAGACTCCACAGCTTAGAGGGAGCATTGGGTATGAGCTTTTGTGAGTACCCTGCCACATATTTTGTTAGTCTTCAAGGTGCTACTGGACTCCTGCTCTTTTCCACTGCTACAGTGTGAATGGTTGTGTGTGTGTATATGAATATTGTTGTAGACCACCGAAATGATTGCATCTTAATTTCGTTGTACTATGTACAATGACAATAAAGTATATTACTGTTACAGACAGACTTAACACAGCTACCCATCTTGATCTAGCAGCAAGGATGGTTATTGCAATAAACTGGAAAAATCCAGAATCACCAACTGTCAGTGAGTGGTTTAACGAGACCTGGCTTCTTGCACTATTATCTAAATTAATATACAATCAAAGTAGGAGTTGCTGGGAACGTAATTACTCTGCCAACAGGAGGAACTTTATGGAACCTGATTTATTTACTAAATATCGGACATTATTCACTTGTTTCTGGAATGAAAAAAATACGATAAGATATACCCACTTGCTTATTACAATTTCTTATGAAAGTACTGGGGAATTTGTGTACATATGTGTATATGTATGAGTAAATGTAATGAGTGTATGTTTGTATTGAAATAAAAGGCATTGTGCTGCTGCCGCCATGGCATGATTCTCCCACAATCCAGTTTTGAACAGGCGAAAAGCCGCAGCCATGTATCCAGGTTTTGCAGAAGCCCATTTGCAAAAAAGGCAGCAAAAAAGTATCATCCATGTATCCAGGTTTTGCAGAAGCCCATTTGCAAAAAAGGCAGCAAAAAAAGTATCATCCATGTATCCAGGTTTTGCAGAAGCCCATTTGCAAAAAAGGCAGCAAAAAAAGTATCATCCATGTATCCAGGTTTTGCAAAAGCCCATTTGCAAAAAAGGCAGCAAAAAAGTATCACCGACTACCCCACATGCTCCTTGGGACTCAGTGACTACCAGTGCAGTCCTAAACAGAGGTACGCCATTCTAAGTCCATTGATGCCAATGGGGTTAGAAGAGTGTAACTCTGTTTAGGATTGCGCTGGCAGTCCGCGTGATCAAGCTGCCCCCGTACCTGCTCTTCTTTTCCCAAATTAGCAATCATCCCCTGATTTTTGTTGTTGTTGTTGTTGCATTTTTTTCTGTTTGGTTTTTGCTGACTTGGAATGCCACCACAGGTCTCCACACGACCTCAGACTGTTGGCTTGACAAAAACAAAAAAAACCCCAACAAATTGCCTCATTGGGATGTTTTTGCACTTAGCGACGCATGAGAACTTAACGATAATTGATGTGGATGCAGCTTAATAATTGCATGTTGTGCCTCCGCTATTAAGTAAAGTGCCGTTCCTTGGCCGGCTGGCTCACTCGTTTTGTGGCAGAGGTGACTCAGGAGGGAAGTTGAGAAAAACAAAAGAGTCCAGAGGAGGGGGGAAAATGACATTTGTATCTATGCTCATATACAAGCTAGTTTCCTATCTGTTAGATAACAGTAGGCAGAGAGTTAGAGTTCCTGAGTAACTGGATCTGACAGCTAATCAGCACATTTTCCAGTGAGTCGTCTGAGCCAGTCCGCAAGCCCTTTGCCCTTGCCGACCCCCCAGGAGTCCTCAGACCCCAGTTCAGAAAATACTGTATAATTAACAACTTGGTAAGAAGAAGAAGAGCTGCGGTGGCTCAAGTGGTTAAGACGCTGAACTGCAGGCTGTGGAAGGTCAGTAGTTCAGCAGTTCGAGACCCGGGTGCCGCATGACGGAGTGAGCTCCCGTCTCTAGTTCCAGCTCCTGCCAACCTAGCAGTTCGAAAGCAAGAAATTGCAAGTAGATAAATAGGTACCACTTCGGTGGGAAGGTAACAGCGTTCCATGCGCCTTGGTGTTTAGTCATGCCGGCCACATGACCACGGAAACATCTTTGGACAGCGCTGGCTCTTCGGCTTTGAAACGGAGATGAGCACCGCAACCCTAGAGTCGGATTCGACTGGCTTTCGAGCAATGGAAGCTTTACCTTTAAGAAGAAGAAGAGGAGCAGGAGGTGGTGGTTGGATTTATACACTGACCTTCACTACCCGGAGGTGTCTCAGAGCGGCTTACAATCTCCTTTCCCTTCCCCTCCCCACAACAGACACCCTGTGAAGTAGGTGGGGCTGAGCGAGCTCTCTTGAGAACTGCTCTTTCCAGAACAGCTCTGAGAGAACTTGTGACTGACCCAAGGTCATTCCAAGAACTGCATGTGGAGGAGTGGGCAGAATCAATCCCGGTTCTCCCAGATTAGAGTCCACACCAGACTGGCTCAAGATGAAGATCATTTACAGATTCAGGGATCCAGCAGGGGAAGAGAGGCATGGGACTGGGTTAAGGCTAGGGGTAGGGTCAGCCACAGGTCCAGATTCCTCCGGCATGGGTGCTTTATAAGCATGGGTGAGGAGCAGGCAGGAAATGGAGATTTGCCTAGCCGGCAGTGGCTGAATGACCCCCTTCCTCTACTTCCCCGTGCCAGTTGTGCGGAAGCTGAACGAGCTGTACAAATCCAGCGTGTCGTCTTGCCACTGCCTGAACATGCGGCTGCAGAGGTGGTTCTTGGATAAGCAGAAGCTCATGGACCGCATCAACAGCATCACTGCGGAGAAGCTCATCTTCAGCCATGCCGTGCAAATGGTAAGGCAGATGTTCTGGGAGGGGCCGTGGCTCAGCGGTAGAGCATCTGCTTGGCATGCAGAAGGCCCCAGGTTCAGTCCCCGGTATCTTCGGTTAAATGATCTGGCAGGAGGCGACGTGAAAGACCTCTGCCTGAGACCCCGGAGAACTGCTGCCAGTCAGAGTAGACAATACTGACCTTGATGGACTGGTGGTCTGATTCAGTAGAAGACAGCTGTTCTTGTTCTTAATGGCTGCTAGGGCATCAGGGGTGGAGATGGGTTGGATCTTGGGGTCTGGCTGTCTTGGTGCATGAGAGCCAAACTAAATGGGATGTTTTTTCTTCCCTGGTTCTGGGTTCCCACAAACTGACTCTCTTTTTCATATATATATATATACTAAAATTACAGCTAAACAATGACCATATATGCTAACAATTGATATCTTAAATCAAAGCTTTTCTCTTATTCAAGTTAAGAATAAAAATTCTATTCTGTCATTTCGATATGCAAAAAAAATTAAAATGATTGACCATGCAAGATTATATAATGTAGTATAAACGTTTCTTCTAGAGTTTAAGCTGTTTTCTGCCTTTCCTTCCTGTCTTTGTGCTTTTATCGTCTTGGGGTGGTTTGGGTGCTGCCTCTCCCAATTCTGATTCAGATTCTACTTCTGAGCTGCCATCTGCAGATGTTTCGTGACTTTCCAAGCCATGCGAACTGTCCTGTTCTCCTTCTGACTCTCGCTCATGATAGCCCCAATGGGCTGCATATGTCGCCTCTCAACAGGGTAGATAAGGCCATTTGGGGTTAGGGCAGGGGTCACTTCTTGCGGGAGTGCACAGGAGCAGAGCTCCGGCAGTAAAGGAGCCCAGGGGGTGGGCACATGCAACAAGCCCCACCCCCTGCTCCCAGCAGCCCTAAGTTGGGCCACGAGGAGCAAGAAGCAGTCAGGTAAGTTGCAGAGGCCCCCCCCC